CCTGGAAGAGGCCCTGCGGCGGTCGCGGCGCGGCCGGCGCGAGCACGTGGGGCTGTACCCCGCCGCCGTGCCGCTGCCCTACGCCAGCCCCTACGCGTACGTGGCCAGCGACTCGGAGTACTCGGCCGAGTGCGAGTCGCTCTTCCACTCCACCGTGCTGGACACGAGCGAGGACGAGCGCAGCAACTACACCACCAACTGCTTCGGGGACAGCGAGTCCAGCGTGAGCGAGGGGGAGTTCGCGGGCGACAGCACGAGCTCCAGTGACTCCGAGGAGAGCGGGGGCCTCATCTGGTCCCAGTTCGTGCAGACTCTCCCCATCCAGGCGGTCGCAGGCCCAGACCTCCACGGCAACCCCACGAAAACCTTTGTCAAAATCAAGGCTTCCCATAACCTCAAGAAGAAGATCCTCCGCTTTCGGTCCGGCTCCCTGAAACTGATGACGACCGTTTGAGGGACATCATTGGGGGCGGGGGGGAGGATGGGCTGTTGTCTAGTCACCCAGGAGCAAGGTGGCGGCTTCTTTTTCTGTGTGACAGTTCCCTGGAATGCTTTTCCTTTTGTTGAGGTAAATTATGTCTCGTCTTCATCATGTAGGGACACTAGTGCCTTTAATGGAAGGTAAAGAATGTTTTGCTGGGTAGGAGTAAATACTGAGTTTTGCTGGTGGTGATAGTGAACGAGTTTTGTGGTAGCAGGTGATTTTTATTTGAAATACTCTGAGCATCGGTGAAGGCGCAGGTTTCGATGCTCAAGTCTTACTGCGATGAGATTCAGATTACTTTTGACCTGAAGGTCAGGTGGATGGAATTTAGGACATACATTTGCTTCTTGGGTCTTTAGGGCAGTGTCTCCACGAGAGTTTTCCGGTTGAGAGGCATCACATACAAGCGTGTGAAGTAGGTACGACGGACAGTCACTGTTTTCCGGAATTTTTTATATCGTCTCCCTTTCTTAGCTGTATCCCCATTCTGTTTTCTTCCCAGAACTGTTTGGTTAACTGGACTCAGAACTCGAAGACCAGATCCTAGATCCAGAGCTGGTGACCTGGATAAGGGAGGCTGGTAATAACCTTAAAAGGATTCCCTAAAACTTTTGCCACACTTGGTGCCTAGGCCCTGGTTACAGTTACCCTTTTAGGGCCGATTAGCCAACATTTTGATGCCTTTCTCCTCCTCTGTGAGTTGCAGCAGATCCAGCCATTTCTTCCTGGAAGGTCTTGCCTTTGGGATAACATTTTGGTCCTTGGGTACAGAAAAATTCACTTCTAATGACATAACCTTTGAGTGCGACTCCAAGCCCAGAATTGCTCACTGAACACTGTGCCACCTGAACATTGGCCTGAACATATTAGTGCAATCCAGTCCAGATTGGACCACTGACCCTGTCTGGAAGGGCTTTTTAAAAAAAATTTTTTTTTTGGTAAACAGTATTGTGTAAAGCTGTTTTTTTATACCAATATATGCATGTTTTGTGCATGAGTAGCAAGTGTTTTTTATATTTCTATTGATGTTAAATTACTGTTTGATATAAACAGTATGTGTTTTTATATATCATTGTGTAAATTTAATATAACGCATTTTATGCTGTAATAAACAATTTGTTTTACTGCTGTTAAGTTTGTTATTTGGGTATAAAACCAGTTACGCATCTAAATCTTGTGCTGATGATTTTGGTATTTCTGTTTCTATTCTAGCATTAGAATATTTGCAATAATTAAAGCAGGTTTTAGGTGTAGTCTTCGAATGAATGGTGAGTAAATAAATGAGGGAAAGCAAACCACTTCTTTAGAATAGTTAAGGTAGGGGCATCAGGGTGGCTTAACTGACTGGCTCAGGTGGTGATCTCCTGGTCCTGAGATCAAGTGCATTGGGCTTTGAGCTGATTGTGGAGCCTAATTGGGATTCTCTCTCTCTCCGTCTCTCCCTCTCCGTCTCTCCCTCTCTCCCTCTCTCCCTCTCTCCCTCTCTCCCTCTCTCCCTCTCTCCCTCTCTCCCTCTCTCCCTCTCTTCCTCTCTTCGTCTCTTCCTTTCTTCCTTTCTCTCTCTCTCCTCTCCCTCTGTTCTGCTCCCCTGTTCTCACTCTCTCCATAAAAATAAATACCCATTAAAAAAAAACTAAAGATACTTCTTCAAATTTGAAGTAAATTTGGTAGATGTTTTCTAAGGAAGATAATTTTTGAGAATTTCACCCATCCCCCAACTTTTTAGTCTAAAAAAATTTCCAACATGGAGAAGTGGAAATGATAGCGCAGTGAACACCTGTGTAGCAATTCAGCAGTTGCTAACGTTTTGCTATACTGCTTTAACTCTGTATATATTAGGTTAAACCATATTGCTGATTTTAAAGATCAAAGACAGATTTTGGCAATCCTCCTTCCACCATGCTACTGCATTATTTTAAAGTAAATTTCAGGCATTGTGATATTTCATCTAAAAACTTAAGCATGTATTTCCTAAGAATAAGGAGACTCTTCTGTATATAACTACAACATCATGATCACACAAGGAAAACTGATAATAATTCTTAATATCATCGAATATTTAATCTCTATTCAAATTTTCCAATTTGTTTCAGAATTTTTTAACAGCAGCTTCCTCCCTATTGTCCCAGCCAGGATTCAGTCAGTATATTGCATTTGGTTTTAGATCTCTAGTCTTTTTAGCCTAGAATAGTCTCCCCTCCTTTCTTAAAAATGACATTGGGCTATTAAAGTCAGGACAGTTGTCTTGCAGAAGGGCCCACATTCTGGATTTGGGTGTTTCCTGATGCTGTCTTTTAACATCTAGTCCCTCTATTTCCCATGAACCCAGTAAGGCTTGATTGGATTCAGGTTAAACATTCTTGGCAAGAGGATTTCACTAGTGATCTTGTGTGTTTTCATTGCTTCATAGTGGGAAACGATATCAGGTTGCTGTACTATTACTGAATTTAAGAGTGATTCCCTTGATTAAGTTGGTGAGCAGAGACTTCTCCATTATAAAGGTGTTTTTCCTCTTTGCAAGTGGTTAGTATTTGTGGGTGATTCTTCCATATTATATGGATATTCTTCACAACCTTCCACTTGATGGATTTAGCTGACACTGCTGATCCTTGCCTGAACCAGTTGTTGCCTTAGGGATTCCAAATGATGGTTTTCTAGAGAGCTTTCCCTCTAGCTTTATTAGCTAACATTCTATAACATTCCCTTTTTCTTTTTTGAATATTACAATGGACTCCTAGATTTTTATTCACTTGGTATCTTACAATCATAGTTACTGTTTATTTTTGATGCTCAACATGTCCCAAATTTGGCCAATCGGAGGATGATTTTGTGAACAGGAAACTAGAATCAGCTCGATCTCATAATTCTTATGTTTATTATGAATTGTACTCAATTTAATTATTCAGATACTAAATTTCAATGTGACCAAAATTCCTTAACTATTCGATTTTTAAATTTTGTCTTGGAAATATTTTATATGCCTTTTATCTCTAAGAAGGTTTTTAACTTTGGAACATAGCAAGTGATTCTCCATGGCTTATAAAGGTAAGATATCTTTTTTTTAAACAAGACATTTTTTTTTAGCAAGACATCTCAGACAACTCAATTCTTCAAAATGTTGTTAGTCTTTTAGTATTCATATGATTTTATATGCAACCAATCATTCTGCTTAGACTAGAATTTCTTTGACTACCTGATTAAATTTAAGCCAAGCACAAGCAAGGAGATGATCTCACCATCTTTTCTAATGCTGTGATCCCATCTCTTTGGGGGGAGGCTATAAAGTTTATCGCGTAAGGCAACTGTGACCTGCAGTCAGTTCTTGAATCATTTCCAAGTTGTTCTCAATGAGCATTATTCTTGGAAGGAGACGCTTTCCGAAGACCAGCCTCTGAATAATTACATTTTAGGTGACAGAACGCCAAACGAAGAGAAGCGTGAAAAACAGGATTTTCAAAGAACCCCGGGTTTGTCCTCCTCTATCTCCTGCTTGACTTCTCTGTACCCAGCAGTTGCACTGCGCTTGGAAAATTGGGTTTTGTCTGTTTCAGTGACAAAAATAGTTGCCATTGTTGTCACACACACAAAAATCTCTTTATTTTCCTTTATTGAAATAAATTACAAATGCTCATTTTCAAAAGAGAAAAAATGATATCTGAACAAAGCACAGGTGTTTAAATTCTCTGTTAATCCTCCTCAAATCCTACTCCAGCAAGTTTGGTGTATATATTTCCATATTGTCTTATATGCACATAGAAATATATAATCTTTATAATTTTTCTTCAAAACGAAGTCTCAAGCTATATGTATTATATATTATTCTGTAACCTGCTTCCTTCATTTCATGGACCTGTATAGTAGATATATTTCCTAATTCTTTTTAATGGGGTTCTAAGTGTGTCCTCACTGAGAAAAAAGGCACAAGATTTTATGGCCTACTTGTTTGCTCTGCTTAGAAAAATTCTACTCTTTAGCAACAAAAGTGTTAACCCGAGTGCTATACCTTTGCACACACACCGCCTTTCTATGTTTCTAGTGTATTTTGTTATTTTGTATTGTGAGCTCACTTCCAGTGGGGTATTATTGGGTGCATCCTGTGAGGCTTGATTCAAGATTTTACCATACACGGAAGATTTGTGTTTCTTTCCCGTCAGGTGCTTCAGGGACATTTTCAGCCTGGGCCACATTTTATTTTTTTAATTAAAAAAAATTTTTAAAGTTTATTTATTTATTTTTAGTAATCTCTACACTCAGTGTGGAGCTTGAATTCACAACCCTGAGATCAAGAGTCACATGCTTTTTCCACTGAGCTGGCCAGGTGCCCCCTGGGCTACCTTTTAGATTAATTTCTTTACTTTGGTTTACCTGACTGTGGAGGTAGTATGTATTCAAACCCTGAGCCCACATGAGGATAGGCATGTTCTCAGAGAAGACCTTTTCCAAGGCAGAAGAGCTTCCTTATTTTCATCCTGGGCTAGCAAGTAGAATGTTTTCCTGGACCAACCTTTTACTGAGGGTGTAGCCCTTCATTGCTTTCAGGATTATGGGGAAGTCTGAGTCCGAAATCCAAGCCAACTTCCTGTCCCTGAGCGCCTGTCTAAACCAAAGCCCCTTGCTTAAGGCACCAGCAACCTCTCTCCCAACTCTTTCAGAGTAGACTAAACTTGGGTGTCTTTCTTCTTAGTGAAGTTAATACACAGGATATTTGTTAATAATTTATCAATCATTTCTAACTGTTTTGCAGTGAGATGATTAGGTTATTCAGTTCACCATATGGCTGGAAGCAATGAACTAACTACTTGTTGCCTTTGTCAATAAGTTGGATTTTCCCTCCCCCCTCTTATTTTTGGTACAAGTTTATTGAGATGCAATTGAAGTCCAGTACAACGCACATATCCGAACTGCACAATTTGAACAGTTTTGACATATGTATACACCCATGTAACCACTACAATCAATGCAACAAACAT